CAACATAATGATAAACGGAAAAAATATGGAAAAAAAATGGAAGTTATAAAGGATTCGTTTTATTTGGAGCCGCAATTAATGCCCATGGAAGCAGGAGTCAAGAAATCAAAGGATACATTGCATTGGGCAAATCTGCTGCAGAAGACCTCTTTAAAGTGTTAAAAAGTAAAAACATCACTTTGAGGACTAAGGTGTGCCTGACCCAAGCCATGGTGTTTTCAATCGCTTTGTATGCATGTGAAAAGCTGGACAATGAATAAGGAAGACCGAAGAAGAATTGATGCCTTTGAATTATGGTATTGCCGAAGAACAAACAAATCTGTCTTGGAAGAAGTACAGCCAGAATGCTCATTAGAAGCAAAGATAATGAGACTTCATCTCACATATTTTGGACATGTTGTCAGGAGGGAGCAGTCCCTGGAGAAGGACATCATGCTTGGTATCATGGATTCAATTGTGTCCCCCAAAAACGTGTCAACTTGGTTAGGCCATGATTCCCAGTTTTGTGTGGTTGTCCTCAATTTTGTGATTGTAATTTTATGTTAAAGAGGATTAGGGTGGGATTGTTAACACCCTAAGGTCACATTCCTGATCCAATGTAAAGAGAGGTTCCCTGGAGTGTGGCCTGCACCACCTTTTATCTTACAAGAGATAAATGGAAAGGGAAACAAGCAGAAATTTGGGGACCTCATACCACCAAGAAAGAAGTACCGGGAGCAGAGCGTGTCCTTTGGACCCGGGGTTCCTGCATGGATAAGCTCCTACTCCAGGGGAAGACTGATGAGAAGGACCTTCCTCCAGAGCCAACAGAGACAGAAAGCCTTCCCCTGGAGCTGACACCCTGAATTTGGACTTGTAGCCTACTAGACTGTGAGAAAATAAATTTCTCTTTGTTAAAGCCATCCACTTGTGTTATTTGTTATTGCAGCACCAGATGACTAAGACACTTGGTGAAGAAGATGGTCAGTGAAAAAGAGGAATTCCCTCAACCAGATGGATTGACACAATGGCTGCAACAATGGGCTCAAGCATATCAACAATTGTGAGGACGGTGAAGGACCATGCAGCATTTTGTTCTGTGGTACATGTGGTCGCTATAAGTCAGAACCGACTCAACAGCACCTAACAACACCGTGTCAAACTTCTTTCTCTTCATTCAGATGGGTTCTGGTCAGCTCAACCCTAGCCATTCAAGCTAGGTCACAACAGGTACTAGCCTTGGGCTCAAGAGTTCACACACGCCTCTGGACACTTCAGACCAGCCAGCCCCTTCTCTCTCTCTCTTTCATCCCTAGCCCCCATGAGCCAGATCAATGGGCACCATTCATAAACTCAGGAGTCCACACAACTCCTTGCACTTCAAACAAGGCAGCTCTTTCTCTCTGTCTCTCATCCCTAGCCCCAGTGAACTAGGTCAACACATGCCAACGGAACATGTTCAAACTCAACCCATCTCTTCACTGCTGCACCTCCCCACTTCCACTCGTTGAGCGGACCCAGGTGGTCACCACTAGTGAGCATACCAAGCTGTATACTCACCAGCTCTCTTTAAATTCCAGTCCTAGCAGGTGGTTCTTCTGCTGAACACTGACTTTTCCTGCTTCACTGCATCCAAAAGCAAACCACTTGCTTGAAATTTAAAAAGCAAAACAGTCATTCTTTTTTTTCTCTGCAGGTCCTTTGTTCAAATGCAAATTTCCTGTTCTCTCAGCAGTTCTGGGTGGGTCTGCATGCCTTTTCAAATGCAAGTTTCCTCAATCAGAAGTGTTTGGGTGGGATTCAGATATCCACAGTGCTAACGCATTAAAATGAACAGCCTGTTTCTTTCTGGCAAATCCTAGTTGCCCTTTTAGCATATCCAATCAAGTACTGGCTGAGTTACACACTCTCTGTAATCTATAACACCCAGTATTCATTTCTATATTTTGGTTTTACAATACCAGGTACGAGAAACATTCAATAACCATAGTATATTCAAATAAATACATAACCCTTTTAAAAAACATTTATTTCATCTTCTCCACCCCTTGACTATCTTCCCATATGGCCTTGGGCCTCTGGTTGGGTGGAACCAGTAGACCCTGGCCCCCTGTCAATCATCTTGCTTATCTGACCTGGCTTTTGCCCCAAGCCATTCCAGAAGGCTTTTCTCCCCTCAGCTGCAGCATAATATCTCTTACTTTCCTTTTAGCTATTACAGGTAACAACCAACTAACACCTAAGAATAAAGTTTCACCTCCCAAGCTCCTTTGTTCTTTTTCTTCCTAAGTCCCATGCTTCCATGAGTCTGGAGCCAGGGATTGCAATGATCCCACTCCTGACATCAACTGTAAAAATGATGTGGCAGCGGCATCTGACCTCCTCTAACTTCACAAGGGGGAAGGAAAATCAAAATCAACAGCCCAAGGCTGATTGCTATGAGGTGAAAGTCAGACATACCTCCTCTCCAACCTTTTTTACCAATTCTGACACCAACCGTCCCTCTCACGGCACTCTCTACTAGGTTCAATACTTTGCACAGACTACACTCACAGGGGTTTGTTAGGGAAGTTACAGGTTACAATTCAGGTCCAGGAATGCTTAGGATACAGTTCTTAGATCAGGACAGCCTCTTCTCAGCTGTGCCTGCAGGCACATCTCTGGCCCCTTGGCCTCTGCCCTGCTCAGGGAAGTGTTATAAAGCTCTTTTAGCTGTGCTGGTAAGTGCCCAGAGGCATCCCCATTCCATCAGTAAGCCTCCCCAGAAGGTGCTCGGCTCTATCTCTGTGGGTCGGGAAATCTAGCTCCACCAAGTGCCCATAGGCATCCTAGTCCACCAGCAAGCCTCCTGCCAGAAGGCGCTCAGCTTTCTCACTCCATGGGCTGGGAAGCCCACCACACCATCTCTAGCCTCTGCTGCTGTCATTTCTCTGCCGCCACTTCTCGCTGTCTTTGGTGTTTCAGCTCTCTCTCTCTCAGTCTCCTGGTACCAGGAGCTTCTCAAGCACAGGGATCATGGGTCCAAAGGGCATTCTCCACTCCTGGCTCTTCTTTCTTGGTGGCAGTGAGATCCTTTTTTCCTGTCTTTGGGATTCATTTTAAGCCTAGCAGGATGGCAAAACTGACTGTTCCCCTCATTAGGGTTCCATATGCCTTATTTGCATGGTCCCACCCTTACAAGGGTAACATGCACCTTATTTGCATTATTAGCAAGCCATTCAATCCCCTTGGTGGGCCACAAGCACCTCATTTGCATAGTTCCATCCAGTCATTAGATGGGAGTTATAAACGACTATGGCTAAAAGGTAAAATCACCACAAAGTTATTATAAAGTAAGAAGAAAGCTTTTATTTGGCATAGATTCCAAGAGGAAATTTTGGAAACAGAGAGGCATACTGCCAGAGCTATGTCTGTCCGAGTCAGAGAAATGTTACAGAATCATCAGTATATATAGACATTACAAATGGGTGAAATCATTTAAAGCTTCACCTTTTCACAGATTGGCTAAAAACTGCTGAATCACTCTGATTCTACATTTTAAATTGTCTTTCTTAATAATCATTGGTACAAGTTTCAGTAACCATCAGGAGGATCTTCATTGGTCCAACAAAACTTACCATTTACTAAATGCTAATAAAAAAAGATGAGTAGAAAACATGTGAGTCTTTGTGCTCTAAGTATTTGCTTATGTAAAGGTTTTCCAAGATTGACCTAGCTATTGTTTTGTTACCTCAGGGCCCAGCTGATGTGTCTTTGAGAGTCCTTGTTGCTCCAGCTGGGTCACGGGTCACATTCTTCATACTCAAGGACAGGGAATATTTCCAATTTTAACTCCTACATCAACTACAGGCAGGTACTCAATAAATGCACTGAATGAATGAAGGGAGAGCCCAGGGTCTGTTTTACAGCTCAGTTGCCAGCATCCCTGCTGTGCTGGGCTAGAGGCATTATGAGTCATATAGCTGGTAAACAGGAGCTGAGTGATTCAGAGATGAAGCCAGGCCTGGGACAACAGCTCTGCATCTCCACATCTTCCAGGTGAGGCACAACATGCAGTGAAGATTCTCAGGGAAGGGTCCTCCAGGAAGACCCAATCTCAAGGGTGGGCCTGGCGGTACCTCTTGGGTCCTCTGTGGGCTTTCAGAGATTATCCCCCTGGACTAGATCTAGGGATAGTACCACCCAGCCTCTCCCCGGCTAGGTATGAGGAAAAGCGTATGTTGAACCAATGGAAGCATGACAGAGGGAATCCTGCCCCAGTTCTTTCCCTTTTTATTCTCCATGGAAAGAAGAGAAATTTTGAAGAGAATCCATAGCCCACTTTCTTGTACAGTAGAATCTGCACTTTCTGGGAAGAGGGAGCTTGTTATTATCTGGACTTTAGCTTCCCTGAGAATGCTTCTGGCTTGGGACAAAGGTCATGTCTTGTCACCATAACCCATTACCTTGAGCCCCAAGTATAGGTCCTTTCCCATGACACATGCCCCCAAGATGTCAATGAGCACAGTGGACTGTGATCTGTACACACCTGTCTTCCCAGCTGGACAAGGAACATCTTGAGGGTGGGCACTGGCAGTATTAGAACGCTCTGCCCACACCAGTGCCTCGCACACAGCAGGTGCTGGCAGAGATTGTCAAATGACTGAGTAATGAGGGCAATAATGGTGTTGGTTATGGTAGACATCCCACCACATACTTTTCAGAATTCAGATTTAACCCTGGATTCAGCAGTTTGCTCTTACCTTCAGAATGAAGTTTAAACTTCTAAGCATTCCTGTACAGTACCTTCACATAGTGAAAAGGTCAAATACGTCCACTTTTTCCTCTTCTGCTTTCCTAGCCAAGCACCCTACGCCAACTCTACTTCCAAGCTCTTCCTCACATGGGGAAAATGCCAGCCTTACCCAGCTCTTCACTCTGTCTAGAAGTCCTCCATATCCAGCCCTCAGTCCACCTGGCAAATTCCTACCCATCCTTGTGTCTTTGGGGAAGGTGGTTTCAGTGAGACTACGGCTAGTGAATGTGTGCAGGAATGGTTTGAGTGGTCAGCCCTGAGCGCCACCAGCAGGGCTAAACCTTGTCCATGCGGCCTCACGGCCTGGGAGAACAGGCTGCTCCTGCAGCCTGCTCACTCGGACTCTTGCCCCCCAGCAGTGCCCCTGGCTTGCCTTCAGCATTCCGGACACCAGGGCTCTCGAAACACGGGACTGGCCCAGGTCGCCAGCGCCCTCGAAGCTCCCCTCTGGCAGCCCGTGCACCCGACGCGGCCCGCCCAGATCCCGCCCTGGAGGCCTTCGGGGGCCCTATCCCGGGGCATGCTGGTCGCCTGTGGGAGCAGCTGCGGCAGTTCTGGGCCGACCACTTTTCCCGGCGTTTCTCGCCGCGGCGGCCGCCGCTGCGCCGCATCTCCTCCATGTCTACCTTCTACCTGCTGGACCACCGCACACGCCAGGCCGAGCTGGGCCTCTGCTACGGCGCGCCGCGCACGCGCCTTAGCGACGAAACTTTTGTGTTCCGCGGGGGCCGCTGGGAGGCGGAGAGCTCGCTGGGACGCTCCCGACTTCCGCAGCCCTCGCCGACTGTCTCGGGCTTGAAGGCGAACGTGCAGCGAGTCAGGAGCCAGGTGCTGCTGGAGGAGAACAACTACCTGAAGCTGCAGCAGGAACTGCTCATGGACATGCTGACTGAGACCACGGCGCGCATGCACTTGCTGGAGAAGAAGCTCGACGCCGACGCCAGCCCGGCGGGCGCGGCGCGCGCCTGGCAGAGGAAGCTGCACAACCGCCAGAGCGTCAGCGGCGTACTCATGATAGAGCCGCGCGCGCTCGAGGCGCGGTGACGCAATAAAGCTCCGTGCTGCGCGCGTGCCCCGGGTCTCGTTGAGGCTTCTGCTGTCTGTCGGTCCATGCTTTCTGCTATTTAGGGGATCGCGTTCGCGGCTCTTGGACGCGGGCTCTGGTCTGGGCTCTCGGCGGCGTTGGGCGGGGTGCGTGCGCGCAGAGGCCGGCCCTCAGGGTTGGGTGTCGATAGTAACTGACGTGAAGAGCCTGTCTCTCTAGGGTGCGATAGGGCGTTGGGGGAAGGGCTGTGTGCGGCCGGCGGGGATCAAGGAGGTGGAATCCAGACCTGAAACTGGCAGTGCCCGTGCCCCAGAGCATGACAGATAGTGATTCTCTAGTCCTAAGGAACCAAGGACAGGTTCGGGAGGCCTAGAAACCTTGAGTGCTCAGGAAGTGGAGGGCAGTGAGGCAGGCAGGTCGGGCGGGGTGGGCCCAGACTTGGCACTTCGGCCTCTGGGCGTTGAGGCTCCGGTTAAGTGTATTTTACGACCCAGGAAACTGCCCCTCAAGTGCAGGAGCTCTCTCGAAACCTTAGGCTCCCTCCAACACCTGGCTCTGCGGCTTGAGGAGAGTCGCTTCTGTTACAGGCCTCCTTTTTCTCCTCGGTAGAATGAGGAGTCTGTGTGACCCAGGGTGCAAACCAGCAGTCTGCTAGAGGGAATCCAGTCCACAGTTAGGTTTTGTTCACCCTACATTTTTTTTCCCCATGTTATGCAACATCTATGGCTATCTTTTTCCAAATTATTTCACCACCTTTAACATAAACCCAGTGCCCCCTAGGTAAAACCACATTTTAAAATATTTTGCATTAGTTGTCAAAATTTAAAAAATTGGAGATTTCACATAAAGATACAGGTTTCTTGCTTCTCTTGAAAAATTGAAGGGGTTGGCCACCCTGAACCTTCATCCTGCTCAACAGCAGTTGGATTGAGCCTGTCATGGCTGTTACCTGGCCAGCTTCACTCCTTTCCTGCTGTAGGTACCTCATTTAGATCCCCATCTAGATCAGTATTCACTGATTTCCCCACCCAACACATATATGCACAAGGTATTATATAATGTATTGCTGAGGGGAGTGTGTTGAATTTGTGAATGATGAGGATGCAGAACGAAGGTGGATACACTGGTCCTTACAAACTGAAACCTACCTGGAACGTAGACAGGTGATTTCACCATCCAAAGCAATGCGTGCCCCTCCATAGAACTTGGGACTTCTCTTTACTGCCGTGTGAAGCTGGAGGGAGAACGTGGGTGTCCTGCAGCAGCCTGACTTGCTTTTGGAAGTAGACTACCAACCCAACCAACCTGTTGCCATCAGATTGATTCCAACTCAGAGCTACTGTTATAGATTGAATTATGTTCCCCCAAAATGTGTGTTGTAAATCCTAACCTCTAGCTCCTTGGAAACCCTGTGGGGCAGTTCTACTCTGTCCTATAGGGTTGCTATGAGTCGGAATTGACTCGAAGGTACACAACAACATGCCCGTGGTTATAATCCCATTTGGGAATGGGTTGTCTTTGTTATATTAATGAGGCAGGATTAGTGTAGGATGTGTCTTGAGTCAATCTCTCTCTTTTTAATTGTGCTTTAGATGAAGATTTACAGAGCAAATCAGTTTCTCATTAAACAATGCATGTGTTGTTTTGCGACATTGGATGCCAACCCCGCAACATGTCAATACTCTCCCCTTCTCAACCTTGGGTTCCCCATTTCCATTCATCCAGCTTTACTGTCTTCTCCTGCCTTCTGGTCCTTGCCCCTGGGCTGGTGTGCCCATTTAGTCTGGAATACATGGCTGAGCTAAGAGTATTATTGTTTTATGGGTCTGTCTAATCTTTGGCTGAAGGGTGAACCTCAGGAGTGACTTCAGTACTGAGTTAAAAGAGTGTCCAGAGGCCATATTCTCAGGGTTTCTCCAGTCTCTGTCAGACCAATAAGTCTGGCCTTTTTTTGTAAGTTTGGATTTTGTTCTACATTTCTCTTCAGCTCTGTCCAGGACCCTCTATTGTGATCCCTGTCAGAGAAGTTGGTGGTGGTAACTGAGCACCGTCTAGTTGTGCTGGGCTCAGTCTGGTGGAGGCTGTGGTAGTTGTAATCCTTTAGTCCTTTGGACTAATCTTTCCCTAGTATCTTTGGTTTTCTTCATTCTCCCTTGCTGTAGACGTGATGGGACCAGTGGAGTACCTTAGACGGCTGTTCACAAGCTTTTAAGACCCCAGATGCTACTCACCAAAGTATGACATAGAACATTTTCTTTATAAACTATGTTATGCCAATTGAGCCAGATGTCCCCCAAGACTGAGTCAATCTCTTTTGAGATATAAAGAGATTAAAAAAACAAGCAGAGCAGAGATGGGGGAAGAGAGATGCCAAGCCACATGAAAATTGCCCAGGAGCAGAGGATCAGAAGAGACAAGGACCTTCCTCCAGAGCCGACAGACAAAGCCTTCCCTTACAACTAGCACCTTGAATTCGTGCTTCTAGCCTCCTAAACTGTGAGAAAATAAATTTCTCTTAAAGCCATCCACTTGTGGTATTTCTGTTATAGCAGCACTGGGTAACTAAGACAGCAACCATACAGGACATAATAGACCTAGAGGTTACTAAACCACAATTTTGTAAAAAAATGTGCCCTTTTTATTGAATCAGCAAAACAATACAAAACATTTCTTTGGGCACTAAGCTTTAAAAAAAAAATGACATTACTTTAGAGCAGCACTGTTTTTCATTTTAATAATCCTGTGTTTATATCAGTATGGATTAACTAAAAATTTTAAAAATAGTTATAATGGTTGTAAAATAAAGTGTCCTTTTAAAACAACTAAGTAAAAAAGAGAAGTTTAGCATAAAAACATGAAGTAAAAATTGAAGGTAGTATGGGGAAATAGGTTGGCTACTAATCAAAAGGTTGGTGTTCGAACCCACCAGCTGCTCTGTGGAAGAAAGATGTGACAGTCAGCTTCTGTGAAGATTTACAGCCTTGGAAGCCATATGGGACAGTTCTACTCTGTCCTATAGGGTTGCTATGAGTTGGAATTGACGGCAGTGGTTTGGGTGGGGAAATAGCAAAAATTATAAAGGCGAACCAGGAATGCTTAAACTTTAGGGAATATTGCTTTGGCCAGACCACTTGAAAATGAATAGCAGTCTTAGGGTAGAGAAAAGTGTCTGTCATACCAGGCAGGGGGCAGGGGGCAGGGGGCCCCACAGCCCATGTGGGTCCTGGTTAGGGAGGTGCATCCAAGTGGATTAAAGGCCCAAATTAAATGGGGCATGATAATATTTTGAGATACTCGACTTTGTTCTTTCTGTGCTGGAATTTCACTCCCTGGCATTGCCCCCTGAATGAGGCAGCCAAGCTCATTGCCCCAGGGGAGGAATGTGACAGAGCAGAAAGCAGGAACAAAGGACTCTTTGTGGCTTTTACCTCCTGCTCAGGAGCAGAATTTTGCAAAAATATTTTTGGGCTTGAGGAAGGAGGTCAAAAAGGCTGTAGCTTTGTCTACAGTGAGAGGAGAGATAAAGGGAAATAAGAGTAAAGATACTAGTAGGACTCCCATTTTGGAAAAAAAAAATCCTTTCTTGACACCGTATCTCCTTCCAGCTACTGCCCCATTTCTGTGCTCCCCTGTATAACTAAACTCCAAAAAATTGCTTATACTTAAACTGTCTCCAATTCCTCCTCTCCTGTTGCTCTTAAACTCACTAACCTTGGGATTTCTCACCCACCACTCTCCCCAAACTGCTTTAGCCAAGGACTGCATGTGCCTCCACGTTGTTGAGTCCGTTGGTCTATTCTCAAGTTCTCATCTTACTTGGCCCTTATAAATGTGAAAACATTTATATTTTATTAAATGTTTATTAAATACATTATATTTAAATTAAAATGTTTATTAAAGATATTATATTTAAAGATCAGGGTTTAAAATGAACAGCAATGGTTCTTACCCTGCTCAGTGCAGTTCCACAGAGGGAACCAATTGAAAATAATTTTCAACCACTGTCAATGTAGGAATCAGGAAAGGACTTCTCCAAGGCTGAATCACTTCCTCAGGCCCAACTGCCAGCCTGCATTCTCCAGGATTTGAGTGGAAGCATGGGGATCGGGCACCCCCTGCTGGTCACTCAGAGCCCTAAGGCAGTTTCTGCCCCTAAAGAGGCGGCACTTTCCTTGCCTTGGTGGAGCATGAGCTCAAGCCTGGTTTGCTTATTCCTGCTCCTGAAGCTTCTTTGAGATTATGGGTGATTTTCTCTTCCCCTCACCTCTCCACCCCTTGCCTCGCTAGCGAGGGGCCCAGGGTTTCTCCTCCATCTGCAGCCGTGGAGCCAGCTCCCACCTCCTTCTCTCGGGCTTGCAACACTCCTAGTGTTCCTTTTGGCCAAGCACCCTTGGCTCTTAGACTGGCTACAGTGGTGGAAGGGGCACTGGTTTTGGACGTGGACTGGAGTCTAGCCTGCTGTACCCACTTGCTGGCTCTGTGACTTTGTGCACGTCTCTGAGCCTGTTTCTTGGAGATCTGAGGTTGCTGGGAGGCCACAATGAGACCCAGAAGGTGAAGCATCCAGCAATTGGGCTGGCCTTGAAACAGTCATTGAACACAACTGACTGAATGTGCATATCCTCCCTCCTCTGCTCCCAGCCCCACCCCAGCTTGTGGCCCTCTAGGCTTGTTCTGCTCAGTTGGAAGATAACCCCAACTCACTCACTCCCACATCATTCCCAGTGACTTTGTCCCGATCTTGGGCCTGACCATGGGCTTACCTTTATCTTTTATACTTGCTCAGGGTCACAGGCAAGTCTTACATTACTCAGACTTATTTGACTCAATAATAACTCTAAAATAATTGGGGGCAGTGGTGGTTCAGTGATAGAGTTTTCACCTTCAGTGTGGGAAAGCCAGGTTTGATTCGCAGCCAATGCACCTCATGCGCAGCCACCACCATTCTGTCAGTGGAGGACTGCATGTTGCTATGATGCTGAACAGGTTTCAGTGAAGG